GGGGGGGGGGGGGGTCAGAGGGGGAAGCCCACCCACCGAGTGACTTCTTCCTTCTGGATGGCTTGTCTCTCCATCTTGCACCGCCTCTCGGGCAGCCACCGCCAGCCCTTCCGGTAGACAAAGTAGCTCCCCCCCGCGCTGGCCGGACACTCCATCGCCCCCCCACCGCCCACACTGATGGTGTCCAGCTCCCTCTCGTCCACCAGCGAGCTGCGGGACCGCCGTGGCGGCGAGTGGTCGGTGGTAGACAACATGGCGTCAAGCTGGTTCGACTCGGCGCGCGGCCTCCCGCCTTGCATTTGGCGGGTGAAGCCCAGCCGGTCGGGGGAGCTGTTAAGCGAGTGCTCTGCGGCGCGTCTCTGGTTGTCCACGTCGGGGTAGAGGGAGTGCCTGTTAGCGAGACCCGTGTTGCGATGTGGGTGGGTGTGGGTGTAGCCGTGGGGTGAGGACCGGTGGGCGGCGTGAGGGGTGCGGTCGATCTTGACGTGGGCTATCTTGACAATCCGGGAAGGGGCGCCGTCACGGGGAATCGCCTCGTGCACCTGACACACACACAAGACACAGACCACACACAAAACAGACAGACAGGCAGAGAGACATCAATCGATCCACGAGGCAGCCAGTCGCCACCCCCACCACTGTCCCTCCCTCCTCCCCGAGTGTGTGATGTGATGCCTCACAATCGAGTAGGATCCCTCGCCGAGTCTCTTGCCCAAAGCGTATTGGTCGACGAGTCCCGGTATGCCCGTGAGACTCCCGACTCGGTATCCGTTGCTCCCCCGTCCTCGCGGCGTGGTGGCGGCGCTGGAGCCGCCAGACATCCGCCTCTCCTTGGCACTGACCTCCTGGCGGGGCGGAAGGGCGAGGAATGTGGGCGGGGTGGTCTCTGTGGGGTCGGCAAGAGGCTCATCGCACGACTTGGACTGTCGGTGGCTGCGACCGAAGAGCGGTAAAGGCAGACAGCGGCTCACGGCCATCGATGGATACCACAGCTGGTTGGTGATGTAATCTCAAGTCAACTACACTCGGCAAAGAATCCTGTTCCGCCTGTCTGACATCAGTATTCGCTGCCCTAACTCCAACGAAGCTTCCATGAACCCTAGAACCCAAACCCCGGTGGGGTTTATCCACGAGCAGTCACACACTGCCTGTGTGTCTGACTCGTCTTGGTCAGGTGCAGCACAGCACTTGCCGCATGTAAGTGACAATCCATCGCAACCAACCGCATTCATTTCCCCATTTAAATATTTGATGGGTGCGGCGTGACCTGCCTGCCTGACGGGCCTTTCGTTCATCCCCACGTACCCCAGCAGCCATCCATCGAGGAGGATGTTTGTGTATCTGAGCAAGAAGATCGCCATCCCGCACAACCTGGCGCTGCACGTGCTGTCGTGGAACGAGGCCAACGGGTGGATAGCATGTGGTGGCGAGCGGGGACTCTTGAAGGTCCTCAAGCTCGACGGACATACGCAGCCGGGGGACCAGCAGCAGCAGCAGCAGCCGCCGCCCAAGGGCACACCAGGGCAGAGCAACCTCTCCATGAACCAAACACTCGAAGGACACCAAGGCAAGCGCGTCACACACACAAGGAGGGAGGGTGCGTACAGCATGGCTGTGTGTGTGGGTGTGGGTGAGTGCTGTCTGCAGGGAACATCATGGTGGTGACTTGGAATGAGCATTTCCGGAAGCTGACGACGAGTGACCAGAACGGGCTGATCATCGTCTGGATGCTGCACCGGGGTATATGGTTTGAGGAGATGATCAACAACCGCAACAGGAGCGTCGTGCGGGACATGAAGTGGACGCCTGACGGACAGAAGATCTGCATCGTCTACGAGGACGGGGCGGTCATTGTCGGCACGGTCGATGGCCAGAGGCTATGGGTAAGTGAGTGGCTGGTTCGGTGGATGGCGTGTGCGTGTGTGAAATGACTGACAGAGGTGAAGGTGTGTGTGTGTGTGTGTGTGTGGTGGTGGTGGCATCGTATCGCATCGCCACCGTCATATAACATAGGGTCGTGAGGTGAAGACTCAGTTGGCGTTTGTGGAGTGGTCACCCGACAGCAAGAACATACTCTTCTGCACTCTCACTGGAGAGGTATGGTTGGTACCACATCACCACCTCACCATACACACAACACACAACACAATAGATCGATAGAGTGATCAGATCAGATCAGATCAACCACCAGACGTCTACTTGTGCGTCTGTTTGTGTGTGTGCGTCACTCACGTGTGCCTACCTACGGTACGTACGGCAGGTTCACGTCTACGACAACGAGGGCATCTACTCGCATAAGGTGGCCATCCACTGCCTTGACGAGGGCACTCACACCAACGTACCCGTAGCCGGCATCCAGTGGTATGCATTGCAATGCATTGAATGCATTGCAGGTGCAGACAGACACAGGCACACGACGAAGTGTGTGTCTTGGCTGTGTGGGTCCCTATGTCCCTATGTGTGTGTGCAGGTATGACGGTCACCGCGGCCCCGAACCGACCGTTCCCGCTCTCGCAATCGCATTCGAGAACGGTACGTGGCGATGCAGACGTCAAGATGATGGGCATACATACTTTGTGGCCGTCCGTGTGTCGTGTCCCTCCCGCAGGTCGTGTGCAGCTGATGCGTTGCGACACGGACGACAGGCCCATCCTCCTCGACACTCAGATGAAGTGCTCAGGTTAGGACTGCAGTGAGTGACTGCCTGCCACCCACCGACCCACCCACCCTGCCATGGGCTCTGTGGCCATGTCGTGTCGTGTACACCATGCTGTGTGGCCGCACACACTGGGCGGGGGGGAGAGAGAGCCGTCCAGTCCACGGCATGCATTGATTCGCAGACCCTGGCACCAACTCATGCCATGGATGGGCCAGCGTCTGATAGTTCTCTGCCACACCTCCATCTCTCTCTCTCTCTCTGTGTGTGTGTGTGTGTGTGTGTCAGCGTTGCGTTGGAGCCCCTCCGGCACTGCGGTGACCATCGCTGGCATGCAGGCGCAGGGGGAAACCACAGGTGAGTTACAAGCCGGTTGGTGGGGTGGGGGTGGGCCCACGGGGACAACCGACACAACCATTAATGACACACACACGCATCCCATCCACCCCACCTATGTGTGCATCATCCATCATTGCGTGTGTCGTGTGTGTGTGTGTGTGTGTGTGGAGGTGAGGGCGGGTCGATGCGCGAGGTGGGTGTGGTTCAGTTCTACAGCCCAATGGGGCAGCATCTTCGCACTCTGAGAGTACCCGGACACAGCCTCAAGGCCATCAGCTGGGACGGCGCTGGTGAGTGAGCCGCCCAAACAACCAGCCACACCACAGCCACGCCTTTGGATGCACTCATGTCCATCTCTCTCTCTCTCTCTCTGTGTGTGTGTGTGTGTTTGTGTGTGGCATCAGGTCTGCGGATCGCATTGGCTGTCGACTCGCACATTTTCTTTGCCAACATCCGGCCCGACTATCTGGCGGCCTACTTCTCCCACACGCTGGTCTACGCCGTCCTCAAGAAGGAGCGCAACGAATACGCCGTCATCTTCTGGGACACACGCAGAGACGAAGTGAGGCCTGTGTGTCTTGTGTTGTGTTGATTGGGATGGGCTGGACATGCCTGTCTGTGTGTCTGTCTGTGTCTGTGTGTGTGTGTGAAGCGTTACACCAAGTACATCAAGAAGTTGCTGCATGTCAAGGCGGGGGAGGACTACTGTGTGCTCGCCACCAAGACAGAGGAGGCCGCCGAGCAGCACATTCTCATCGTGTGCAATGACATCGGTCAGTAGACCTGCCGGATGGACACAGCACAGCACACACAGTCCACAGACGCACGTGTGTGGACTGTGTATGTGTGTGTATGTGTGTGTTGTATGTGCAGGTTCCCCGGTGCAGTCTCAGTATCTGACGATCGAGCCCCTCCACGTCTGCATGACGTCGTCACACGTCATGGCCGCATCAGAGGTATGTAACCCCTCCCCTCCCCCTCCCCCTTGCCCTCCCAACCCACATCCACACCCACACCCACACTCCCATCAACCAACGCGCTCCAAATGCAGGACACAGTGTACATATGGCAGTACCGGTCGTCGCTTCCCAGCCGTGGCGGTGTGGCCGGCGTGGGCGACACCCTCACCCTCACCGCCACCTCGGCGTCCACCATCCCACCTGGATCAGCATCGGCAGGCCTCGTCCCCCAGCCCCACAGGCGGCGTGTGGAGCAGATGTTCCACATCGACGAGTATGAGGGCGGGGCGAGCGACAAGGAGGCATTCAGACACCCGGGCACCGTTTGCCAAGACCCCATTGCATGCATCGCAGCAAGTGACAGGTGTGTATGGACCGATGGCTGCGTGGGGGCATGGATGGATGGATCTTTGTGTGTGTGTGTGTGTGTGTGTGCAGTTGTCTGGTGGTGGGTCGTGAGTCCGGGACGGTGCAGCGTTACTCTCTGCCGCATCTGGCGCTGGACGGCAAGGTGCTCATCCAGACGCGGCCCCAGGTGCTGGCGGTCAACTGTGCGAGCAGCTGCATGACATGCATCGACATCAATGGCATACTCACCCTTTACAACATCCAACACAGGTGCCTGAGGGGGTGGGTGACAGACACCACACGACCAGCCAAGCCGCATTGAATTGATGCCTCCTGCTCGCACTCGTGTGTGCCTGTAGGGGGAAGGGGCAGATGGGCGAGCAGCTGGATTTTGAGCGAAAGGTCAGTCCAGTCAGGAGCACACCGACGACAGGGAGAGGGGGGAAGGGTGCGAGACGAGACGTACACGGATGTGTGTGTGTGTGTGTGTGACATGGGTGTGGTGTAGGATGTGTGGGACATGCGATGGGCGAGTGACAACCCCGACCTGTTTGCCCTCATGGAAAAGACACGCATGTACGTCGTCAGAGGTAGGTGGGCTACGCAGCCATGCCATGCCATGCCATGCCATGCCAGGGAGGGAGGGAGGGAGGGATACATCTTGTCTTGTCACGCCACACACAAACACACATTCGCCATGCCATACCATGGTCTGCATGTGATGTGACGTGACACACACACAGGTACCGACCCCGAGGAGCCGGTCCTGTCCAACGGCTACATCTGCTCGTTCAAAGACCTGCACATACAGGTCAGTCAGGTCGGTGTGTATGCTATCCGTTGATCTCTGCGTGTGTGTGGTGTGTGTGTTTGTGTCCATTTGCTGACTTACTTCTGGATATACCGATCAGAGTGCGTTGATCGACGACTTGATGAAGAACCCCGACAGCGCCAAGAAGGACATCCTTCTCGAGTTCGACACCAAATCACTCAGAGACACAAGCGACATACTCGTGCGCATAAGCCTATCAGATTATCTTGCACACACACATACACATACACACACACCACATCAACCAACATAACACACACCACACGCACTCCAAGCTTTGTGTGTGCTCATCTATCTCATCTGGTGTGATGTGATGGGATCGCATCATATCTTCCTTCAGACGAAGGTGTCAAACTTGAAGGATGCCTTCACCTACGTCGAGGAGAACCCACACCCTCGGCTATGGCGGCTGCTCGCCGAGGCCGCACTCGACCAACTGGAGCTCAGCGTAGCCGAAAAGGTAATTGCGTACCTTTCTCCCCAAGCACATGCCATGCCCACCTCTTGCCCACCCACCCACACGCGTCAGTCAGTGTGATGTGATGTGTGCAGGCGTTTGTGCGTTACGAGGAGTACCAGGGCATTCAGTTCGTGAAGCGTCTGCGGATGCTCGACGACAAGGTCAAGCAGAAGGCCGAGGTGGCCGCCTACTTCCAGCGATTCGACGAGGCCGAACACCTCTACTTCGACATCGACCGGAAAGACCTCGCTCTAGACCTGCGGATCAAACTTGGTCGGCAAGCCTGCCTGCCTGCCTGCCGCACACTGGCCACATAGATAGATGTGTGTGTGTGTGTGTGTGTGTGTGTACCTTGACCTCTCTGTGTGTGTCGGTGGACAGGGGATTGGTTCCGTGTGATTCAGCTGACGCAGGGTGGTGCTGGTGCTGGTGCAAGTGAGATACTCCACAGGGCTTACTCGGAAATCGGAGACTACTACGCCGGTCAGCCACCGACACAGAGCAGCAGCACATCCCGTTGTGTCCATCCCTGTGTGTGTGTGTGTGTGGATGTGGTCCGCCAGACCGCGGTAAGTGGCTTCAGGCGTCTCAGTACTACGCCAAGGCCGGCAACAACGCCGCACTCGTCGAAGCATACTACCTTCTAGAAGTAACCAACACACACACACACCACACGCCCCAAGCGCACAACCACCACACGCCACGTGTGTGTCAACACAACAACAACAACAACAACAACAAAACAGGACTACGAGAAGCTGCGTGGTATGATTGACGCACTGCCCGAGGGCGACCCCTTGCTGGCGGAGCTGGGGAGGCGGCTGACCACTGTGGGCCTGTGTGAGGCGGCTGTGGGTGCCTTCCTGCGGGTGGGGGACGTCAAGGCCGCTGTCGACAGCTGCGTCATACTCAACCAGTGGGACCTGGTATGGATGGCACCACACACGCACACACACACACACACAGACACAGTGACACACAGGGAGAGGGAGAGATCGGTGTGTTTCTGTGATGTGTGCTGCAGGCTGTAGATTTGGCCGAGAAGCATTCGTTTCAGCAGATCGAGACCCTCCTAGCCAAATATGCGCAGCACCTGCTAGACAAGACCAAAAAGGTCGGCCGGCACACCCCACACCCCATCCCATACATCAGCACCCTCAACTCACCCACACAGGCTGCACGCACCCGGTGGCTCTTGTGATGTGAGTGCCTGTCTGTCTGTCTGCAATGGCTGCAGCTAGAGGCAGTGCAGCTGTATCGGCGCGCCAACCGTCACCAGGAGGCGGCCCGTCTGCTGGCCCAGGTGGGCAAAACCCTCGGGCCGCCACAGTTCCACCCCGACAGACACAAAAAACTCCACCTACTCGCCGCTCTGGAGGTACGCACGTCGGGCCGCCAAGGGGGGCCGTGGAATGGGTGGGTGGACACACCTGAGTGGTGGTGCGGTGTGTGTGTGGTTGTGTTGTGTTGTGTTGTGTTGCGTTGTGTTGTGTTGTGTTTGTTGTCCAGGTAGAGAAGTACAAGAAGAAGACGTTTGATGGTGGGGGAGCGGGCGGCACAAACATCACCGCACAGACACTCAACTCGCTCATCACACAGGTACGTAGGTAAGGTACCTACCTGGATGGATGGATGGATCGATATGGGTGGATCCATCCATCCATCCATCGGTGGCTTGTCTTGTTTGTCCCATCCAATGAACAGGACCAGACGATGCTGATGGCTGGGGACAAGTCGCTGGAGAACCCTTGGCGGGGCGTCGAGGCCTACCACGTCTACATGCTCGCACAAAAACAGCTCTTCGACGGGTGAGTGAGCCGAGCGGTCAGACCAGGCCAGACACACACATGTATTGTATTGTGTTCATCCCCCCCCTACTCTAGTCCCACGTGTGTGTATCTGTATGTGTATGTTGTATTTGTGTGTGCCAGTTCGATGGAGGCAGCGCTTCGCAGCTGCATCCGTTTGGCCGACTACGAGGACCACCTGGACGTGCAGACCATCTACTCACTGCTCGCACTCACTGCATACTACACCAAGTTCTTCCAGCAGGCATCAAAGGTCAGCCAGCCCAGCCCGGACACACACACACAGACAGAAGGCAGACCAAGACAGCAGCCGACCCGACTGCAGTCGCGTGTATGTGTATGTGTATGTGTTTGTTGTGTGTAGGCGTTCATCAAGCTGGAGGCCTCGCCGGACATTCCCAAGGTCACACACACACAAATATGCGTGTCAGCTGACATGACACACAGAGGCACTCCATATCATCTGTGTGTGGTGCTGACATCAATCAGGCCACCCGCCAGAAGTACGAAGACCTGGCACTAGCAATCTTCACCAAGTGAGTGACTGAGTGAGTGACTGAGCGAGATACCCACGCAATCACCTACCTCTACCAGCAAGGCGAGTTTGCAAATCGTGTGCAGGCACCCGCCCCGCGATCCCGCCTCTCGCATGCTGCCGTGCCCTAGATGCAACACACCCATTGCCGACTGGTATGTATGTATGCATGTTGGCACAGAACTGCCTGCCTGTCTGAATGTGGGCATGCATGGCATGTGTGGCTGTCTGTCTGTCTGCCTGTCTGTCTGTCTGCAATGACTGCAGGACGGTGATATGCCCCCACTGCAGCTATCGGCTGCCCTTCTGCGTCGCCTCGGGGCGGCCGATATTCAAAAAATACCTCACACCCGAAGCTGCGTCATCCTTGGCCGCATCGGCCAGCAATGCTGTCGAGCCGGCGGCCAGCGAGACCATCCAGTGCAAGACCTGCAAGTGAGCATCCAGCCAGGCACAGACAGACAGACAGACACCAAGAGCGTGAATCCACCCACGTGTTGCAACCGGCTCATGTATTGTATTTCAGGCATCGCATGTACGCGTCTGAGGCGCGTCGGTTACGGCATTGCCCTTTCTGCCACTCTTTGCTCGTGCACAAGTACGTTAGCTGAGCTGGCCACCCTGACACGCACCGCACGCCGGATGGATGGACGGAGGAATTCGCCGGCTGGCTGGTGCTGGTGTAGGCAGATTCGTAGCGGTTTCTCAGACCCGTTTCTTGATGTTGTTGATATGATATGTGTATGGCGTGTGTATGTGTGTGGGTATGTGTGTGTCCTTGGCGTGGTGTGTACAGACCGGGCAGGGCAGGGCAAGACACAACGAATGCATGACATCGACATGCTTGAATAATGAATGCACTTGCGTGGTTTCTGTCCGTCAACTTTCCCCCATCGCACTGTATGTCATGAATGCGCCCCCTCAGTGCACTGCAGACAAAGCACATTCATCTAGTACTTCAGCTAGAAGCTATTAATTATCTGCACACCCATCATCCTCACGCACCAACCACGCCAGCCAGAGATCAGCCCACAGCAATGCGGATTCGATGGCTGGCTGGCTGCAGCACACACGAAACAATGTTAGTAAAGCTATCAACAGACACGAACGAGCAATACACTAGCTGTACAGTACACACAGTGAGCATAGCTTTCCATACTGAGTGAGGGCTTGGCGGCACCTCATCTCACGCCTTGACTACATTGGCAAACGACAAACAAGGAACCCACCCCTGTGTTGTGTGCCCGCCTGCCTGCCCATTCACTCACACGCGAGCATACACATACACAAAGTCGGCCTGGTCCGGCGAATCGGCGTCAAATCGGCTGATGCGGATGTCTGTCTGGCACACACACACAAGGCAAGCATTCTCATGCCCCTGTCTTGTCTGCCTACATCACATCAAGATGAGTGCACTCATGGTACGTACCGTCATCGATGTATGTGGTTCTCATGGTAAGGTCACAGCTGCCCTTCCTAATCCGGTCATAGACGCCCTTGATGGGGAAGGCGAAGTTGCTCAGCTACGGTACCCAGGAGTCCAAGATGCGCTCGTTGTCAACATAGACATTGAGCATGTCGGGATGCTTGATGCTGGGCTCCACCTTGGCAGTGGTGGTAGAGACTGCCGACCCTGCCCCCACCACGCTAATGCGCACCTGACTGACCATCTCGGCCTCCTCCCCTGGCTGGGCGTCGGTCAGGCCACTGATGGTCTCTCACCTGTGTGGATGCAGACCAGACACACGCGTGTGTCACGCATCGCATGTCTGTTGTGTGGCGATGCGATGGGTGTGTCTCTCTGTCTGTCTGTCCGTCTGTGTGTCTGCTGCTGACCTGTTCGGACAACGGGAACAAAGTCTGCTAGAGGATACACCGACTCGATAAGCTCCCGATTGTGGATGAAGTCAGGGATGCCTCCTACACACACACATGCATTCCTCTCCTGTTGGTGAGGATGGATGTGAGTGACTCGGTCATCTTAAGGACCTGCCAGCTGCCTCGTGGCCCACCACAGCGGGCTGGACCGTGTTGGATTGTCCGAAGAGTACACCAACCGCCACGTCCCCTCTACCAGCTTCCCAACAGGCTGTGTGTCGTCGTTCAAGCTCTCCAACTGCCCAATGACCTCTGCCACATCGGCCCGCTGTGCTTTCGTGGCGGCCTGCCCTCTGTCGAATGCCGCCACCATCTTGAGGAGCTGTTGCTTGAGGTCGTATGCCGCGTCCGTGTCGACACTCATGACCACGTTGAGGCCGCGCCGAGAGGTCGATTGGCGAATCAGCTGCCGCAGCAGTGAGGGTGTTTTTCGGCTCATCGGTTCGGTGGCAGGCGGCACCAGCCGATAGCCAAACACTGAGGGAATCACCAGCAGGCACGAAAGGGCGATGACGAGCGCCATTTCAAGCTGTGGTGTCAAAGGCGCCGAAGATCGGTCTCGAAACGCATTGCGGGTGATCGCTCAAGGACGCAGAAAGTTCGGGAGATACAGGTATGTGATGAATATGCACGATGCTCATAGGCTGCCTTCATGTGCGTTGCTGAGTGTGTGCAGATAAGTCAGAGAAACCGCTCTGTCCTGTCACTTCTGAGCCAGACAACAGTGCTCAGCTCACCGATCGCCACCAGAGGCTTTCCCCCGACGGAAAGACCACGATGGCGGCGCTCTTCACCATGCTGGCAGCGACCGTCGTTGCTTCGGCCGCCGTGAGTGGCGCGGCAGAGAGTCCGTCGCTGACGTTTGTGTCCCTGGGCGACTGGGGGAAGCTCGGCACAGGTCAGAGGAATGTGGCCAAGCAGATGGGCATCGAGGCACAACGACTCAAAGCCAGCTTCGTACTCGCTATCGGAGACAACGTAAGACACAACCTGCAGAGAAAGAAACTCTGTCGCTGTCTTGTCTTACGTACGTCTGTCTGTCTGTCTGTGTGTACCCCGTCCACTCAGTTTTATGAACAGTGAGTGACCCCAACGAAGACACACAGGAGGGGGGAGAGAAGCAGTGGGCCCATAAGTCAGTCGTGCCTGCCTCTGTTTGGCGTGTGTCAGTGGTGTGCGGTCGGTGAATGACCCTCTGTGGCAGACGACCTATCATGACGTATACGGCCCTATCGACTCGCTTCAAGTCCCATTCTATGCCGGTACGTGGGCCGACCGACCACACACTCAATCAGACAGACAGTGGTCGATCGTTGATGTGATGTGTGGTGGGTGACACTGACTGCAGTGCTGGGTAATCACGACTGGTACGGCAACGCGAGTGCGCAGATCGACTACCACTATCGCGAGCCCAAGCCCGAGTGGCTGTCGCGCATCACGCTCGCCTCCCTGCCCTTCCCGTTATACGCAGCAGCCACGGGCAGGAGATGGTGGATGCCACACAACTGGTATGGTACCCCACCGAGAGCAGCAAACACAGTGCCATATGTCATACCATATAGAAGCGCGTCTGTGTCCGTGTGTCGCGCAGGTATTCTGTCGCGTATCCACTGACGTCTGAGGGACAGCCCATGACCGGGGACTCCTCGGAGGCCACCGAGGAGCAGCAGTATGCTGTGTTTGTCTTCATCGACACCTGGGTGGCCGACCCGTCCAACCGTCAGCTGGCCGCCATGCGGCACGAGCAGCTGCACTGGCTGGCCAAGACGCTGCACGGCGCGGCCACTGATCCTCACGTGGGATGGATCATTGTCGTGGGGCATTATCCTATCTATACATCAGGGCAACATGGTCGGTCAGACGGGGCAACAAACTGACGGTTCTGTGGGCATTCACATTCATCCTGTTCTCGTCGCTTTTTTGTATTGGTGCAGGCGACACCGACTTCCTCGTGTCAGACGTACTGCCGCTGCTCAAGGAATATCAGGTGGACGCTTACCTGTGCGGCCATGACCATGACCTTGAGCTGCTCAGCGAGCACACGCCGGAGCAGCCTCTGCCCAAGAACGTCACTGAACTCACGGCAAGAAGAACACCATACAGTCTTTCGGTCAAAGCTGTGATGCGAATTTCGTGTCGTCTCGGTCAGAGCGATACTGAGGGTGTGACGTTTGTGGTGACGGGTGCCGGCGGCAAGAAGAGATCATTCAGCAAGCCGCTGCACAAGCAGCACATATACGGATGGCCCTCATACGGATTCACTTCACAGTAAGACCCTCACTCGCCACTCACACCACACACAGACTCTCTGCAGTGCATGCCCTGTGTTTTGTTTCCATCCGTCCGCGTACGTTCCCTCCTGCAGTGTACTGACGAGCTCCCAGATGACCACTCACTTCATCAGCTCCGACGGCTCCCTCCTCTTCACCTACACACAGCCACGTCGCATCCGGACCGCTGTCAAGGAGGAGTCAGAGTTGGCCCCGCTCATCGAGGACACACCAGCGAGTGAGGCCAAGGAGGTGTGGGCGCAGTGGCAGTGGGTGGCGGGGGCGGCTGGGATGGGGGGGCTGCTCGCCGGTGCCGCTGTGACATGGGCTGTGCTGTTCTCCGGGCGAAAGTGCGGGTACTGAAGAGTATGAGGGAGGGAGGACGACATGCGCAGCAAGGATGTGTGTGTGTGTGTGGTTGGTGTGGTGTGTTGTCTTGTGTTTCTGCAGTGGTTGGCAGCGTGTGGCCGACGAGCCCAGCCCGTCACCGATGGATGCATCGCGTGCCCCATTCGACGAATGCACTGATGCTGGCGCTGATGCACCCAAGACACGACACACTGACACGGATGCCAACAAGAGCAGGGCACAGGCTGGATGATATGTGGCAGGGAGGGACATGACCAATAAGACAGACAGGCGATGTTACCCAAGACAACACAGCAGCAAAACAGATCAGGGGGGACTTTTTCGTAGGTGCGTTTTGTGGTTGTTTTGTCCCTTATTGTGAGTGCGGCGTCTGGATCGGCCAACACAAGGGTGTATGTGCCGTGGCCATGCTCCGCCCCACCAGACACTGAGTGCCCTATTACTCGTATGCCGTTATATATATATCTCTCTCTCATCTCTCTCAATGGTCTTGTACATATATACCAAGTGTTTGTTAGTGATGTTGGTGTGGCATACGCAACAATTAGGGCAGCACGCGCAGCGGACTGCGCACTTTTGCCGGAGTTTTGACTCGTTTTGACCCCGTGTATGTGTGTGAGCAACCGTGTCTGTGTGTGTGGTGGGTGGGGTGGGGGGGGGGGGGGCGCGGA